TCTATCTGCTTTTATTTTTAAACAAATGATCTTATAAGTTTCTCTAGAAAGCACACATTGATGACTAGATTTTACTTGTTGTCAAAGAATGTGTGTTAGAGAACCTAACATCATGCTATTTGTGATGCCCCCACATCATTTAATGTTTGCATAATATTCCAATAGAAGCATTTTCAGAATCATTTAACTTGACCCTTATTCATGCACATTTAGGTGCTTTCCATATTTTGCTCTCATGAATGATGCTTCCTTCTACATCACATTTTTATCATTATCAACCTCTCTGTTCTTATAAGGGATGATAATTTCAGAGGAATTGCATAACTGGTTCAAAAAGTGTGTGCATTTTAAATTTTAAAAATTCAGATCTAAAAAGTTCACTTTTTCTCCATAGCCACACCCACAGAGTGTATGTTTAAACCTTCTATCATTGGAGAAGCAAAAAGATTTACTGTCCTATGTTTGAAGTGAGGCATTGTTCCATTTGCTTATAAGCTGAATAAAAATATTCTTATTTTTATCCTATGTACTATTCCTCCTCTATAGGAACATTCAAGTTTTGGCTCAGGTGTTAGAGCATTGGTCTGCACACTAGAGGGTCTTAGGTTCAATATCCATCAAGAACATGTATCTGGGTTGCAGGTTCAATCCCCAAACCCATTGGGGTGCATGCAGGAGGCAACCAATTGAGTCTCACATCTCTCTCTCTCTCTCTCTCTCTCTCTCTCTCCTCTCTCTCCACCTCCCCCTCTCTTCCACCCTCACTCTATAAAAAATAGGAAAAAATACTTTTATTTTTTACCTTTACCACTCCAAATCTGAGCTACTGGGTCATCAGGAGCAAATGGCAGTAAAGTTTAGCAGAGCTAAAACGAATGCACTCAATAAACACGTAATGGCCAATTAGCCTATGATACTCTGTACAAGAACCAGACTCACGATTCATGAAACAGTTCCTGGCCCAAGGGAAGCCCAGGCAAACATAGACAGTGCAACATAGAGTGCTAGCACCTCAGTGGAAGAGTGAGAGAAACAGAAAATAGGGTGAATAACTGTCTGAAATCGTCAGAAAAGGTCAGCTATAAAAAGAAGCATGTCTGTTGGGTTTTAGAGTGTGACTAGGAGTTACTGGTGGATGATGTGTGTATAGGGTAGAAAAGGAAAGGAAGACGGTAAGTTTGTTTGGTGGCATGCTATATTTCTGACATATATTCTCTTCCAGGTAACAGTAAATAGTACCCAATTCTACACTTTTCCCCATCGAATTGAACGAGCATCTGTGAGGATGCTGCGGGTGTGGAGAGATGTCTCCCTGACCTCGGTGACTACCCCTTAGAGAAGGATGTGACCAGACTCCCCGTTGTCAAGGAGATCCCTCCACCTAAGTGACTCTGTGGTTCCCAGAGCTCCCTAACAACATGTGTTCTCACCCGTCCCCCACATTTGGTCATTAAAACTCCTGAAAACAGAACAAGATTTGCTTCTTGCTTTAGAGGGAAAAGAGAGAGGAAAAAAAGAGTGTGTGGTTATCAGCAAGAAGGGTGTGAGAATATTGTCGGAGGCATCAGCGTATCAAAGTGGATAAACATTTCTCTGATACAAGGAGTGAGTATCAGGCTCATGAAATATCTGAGAAGACACTGAAACCATATTCTTATGATGTAGTGCTTAGGATATGTTAGAAACTCTGGAGCAAAATCCTTCCCCAATTTCAGAGAGCTAAACTAAGACTATAGGCGTCTCTCTGCACACATAGTGCTATAACTGGTGGTTTGGGAAGAAACTTTGTATGTTGAGGCAAATTGGGTGAAAAGTCTTAATTCTTCCTTTATGCTAAGGATGTTTAATATATATTGACACTGTGCCAGGTTTTGTGTAAGATGCACTGGGGAAAATGAAGAAAATGACAAGGCCAGCAGTTAAAATTTTTTATTAATCCTCACCTGAGGATATATTTTTATTGAGAGAGAGAGAGAGAGAGAGAGAGAGAAACATCAATAAAAGAGAAACATCAATGGGTTGCCTTCCATATGTGCCCTGACTGGGAGCCCAACCTGCAACCTTTTGGTGTACAGGATGATGTTCCAAGCAACTGAGCCTCCCAGCCAGGGTGCACTTAAAAAATTGTAATCCAAGGACTATTTGAAGAACGAAAAAAAATGCCCCAAAGATTTTTCTATTATTCAAACAATTTCAAAATTTTTCCAATTTATGTGGGCAGAAGCCTGGGGTATGTTTGATAATGAATTGTCACCATTTTAGACCAGGAAGGATAAAAATTGTTATTAAAACAAGAACAATGTATACGATTTGCCTGAAAGATTTTTCTATTATTCAACAATTGCAAGATTTTTTCAATTTATGTGGGGAGAAGCCTGGGGCATGTTTGATAATGAATTGTCACCATTTTAAACCAGGGAGGATAAAAATTGTTATTAAAAAAAGAACAATTTATATACCTGGGTGAAATGACCAGACTCTGGTTTTGATGTTGTCCCACTTAATCATTACAGAATGACAAACCTCCCCCAAATATATTGGGTTTAAAACAATAATTTATTATTATCTCTCTCAGTTTGGCAGGTTTACTGCACTCATCTGGGTAGTGTATCAGGTGGCCTTAATCTAATTGCGGTGGGAAGTGAGGTTTTCTGATGGAAGCTTTCCTCATGTCTGACACTTCACTTGGGCTGGCTGACGCAGCTGGGGGCTGGCTGGTTATGTCTCTCTTCACATGACCTTCATGGTTGCCTTAGACCTCTTCAAATCACAGAGGTCGCAGGGGTTTGGGATTTAATGAACGGTGACTGGCTTCTGCCACAGAAAACCCTTGAATAAGCTCAAGCAGAAGGTGCAAGGTGTAATGGGACCCAGCTCTAGAAGTCATACAGTGTCACTCCCATCACATCCTAATGTTCAAAGGTAAGCCAGAGAGACAGCCACAATCATGTGGAGAAGACTACACCAGGGCATGGGTATGTCACATGCTATTGTTCAAACGTGAGTGAGAGAGAGACGGCCATAATCATGTGGAGAAGACTACACCAGGGCGTGGGTATGTTGACTTGTGATTCAACTCGTGATTCATGGCAAGTCATCCTAGACTAGTACTGTTCCACCATCAGGCTTCATGACCAGTTATCCTAGAGTAGTACTGTTCTACCATCAGGCTCCAGAGACATTCACACTTCCCACTCTGACCACTCTCCAAGGAATTCCCAAGTGTAATAAATAACAGCAACAACTCAAGACAGAAGTTCAGGATTTCACCATTTAAACCAGGACCTGGGGCTCACGAAGTGAACTGAGTATAACTCCTCAGGTGCAGTTCTTTTCAATATGTGCACTAATGAGGCAAAATACCTCATACATGCCAAACCTACATGCTGAAACAGGCACAGAATAAATGCAATCCACATTTTCAGAGGCAGCAGTAGGGGATGTATAGCAGCTGCAGCTTCATATCACATATGACACCCAGTCAGGCTCATATCTACCCTTTTCTCTAGGACTGTTTTCTCTGTAGCGATTGAGTCCACCCTCCATTCTCAGCTTCTTTGAGTTCTTGCCAAGATGTCAGAACGACAACTCCAGGGCCTCTGATTGATCATCACCTTCTCAGCAAGTCAGAGAACCACTTAGGAGACACAAAGACGCTATTCCTAAAAACATACCAAGGCAGATTTAAGAAAGTGGAGAAGAGGGGTTCAATCAGGGGGAAAGGGGAACATCTGTAATACTTTCAACAACAAAGATAAAAAAATAAAACAGAGCCTGGTACATCAAACAAAGGAAAGTCTTCTGGAAATAGCCTCTTTGTCCACAAGGACTACCTCAGGCATCAATCATGTCATCTCTCACCATGACCACTGCCACAGGGTCTCCTTCAACTCCAACCTTACTAACTGGAATAATTCTTTCCTTAGCCTTCCTCCAACCTAACATCCAGAAGCCTTGAGGTGGCAACACATTGCTAATGGCACTCTTCAGGCCTTACTTCTGTGTAGAGAGCGCCCTGGGGAGCAACTGAGCCAAGGGTCCTCGGCTGAGTCCAGCAGCGTGGGCAAAGCCATGACCTGGATACATATCTCGCCAAAGGCAGGGATGTGGTCAGTCCTGACCTTTAGCTCAGGGGCCAGGGGGTGGGTGTAAGTTCAGCCAGATGCCAGGTGTGGATGCAATTATCAGGGTCCCATCAGGCCTGACGATTCTGAGAAGCCACAAGAAGGAAGAATTGCAGCTTGATCTT